CCTCTCTCTCTCTGTCTGTGTGTGTGTGTGTGTGTGTGTGTGTGTGTGTGTGTGTGTGTGTGTGTGTGTGTTCACATGCCCATGGAGGCCAGAGTTGATGTCAGGTGTCTTTGTCTGTGACACTGGAGTCAGAGTCTCTTGCTGGATGTGGGGCTCACCAATTCTGCCTAGTCTAGCTAACCAGCTTGCACTGGGGATGCCCTGACCCTTTCTCCCTGGAACTAGGATTGCAGGCTGGCTGCTGAATCAGCTTCTGTGTAGGTGTTGGGCATCTGAACTCTAGCCCTCATGCTTGGGAAAGCATTTTGCCCACTGAGCCATCGCCCCAGCCCTTACTTTTTCCTTCTTATTTAGTCTGAGACCCCAGCCTATGGAATGGTACCCCACTCTAGAAAACTCCTTACACACCGCTCAGAGATGTGTGTCTCTCAAGTGATTCTGGAGTCTTATCAAGTTGGTAATCAGTGTTAACCATCATAGAAGAGGCAGCCATGGTGTCTGTGGATGCTGAGGGTCCACAGACCTCAGACCTCAAGACTAGTTTAGGCAAGGTGGCTTTCCTGAGACCATTGCCACTCCCTGTGACAACACCTGATGACTGCAACCTTTGAACTCAGGGATGGAATTTCACTCATCTCTTCCTCTAAGGCAGAGAATAGGATGGTCTCAGACAAGCTCAAGGAGAAGTCATAATTGTGTAGCTTTTGTCACAGTGCTTGCAAGGCAGTAAGGTCAACTTTACCTCTGTGTGGTGGTGAGGATACCTGTGGAGACAAGTGCAGATCTTATGACCCAGCCTTGTTGAGGTGGGGTAAGCCTAGTGTGCCTGAGTAGAATACCCTATCTGGATCCTAAAGGGAGATATGTAGAAGCCCAGAAATGAAGAGAAAGGCCACTTACGGGCAGAAACATCTTAGGCCAGTTTGTGAGAAAGGGTCTTGACTCTTCAGGTACAAAACTGGAACAAGTTGCTGAAAGTCACTGGACAGCAGAGTTTGGGGCTCTTCATAAGTGGGGCAGCCTTCCTGGTCATTGTCAAATAATACATAGAGGGGGAAGGGGAGAGAGAAAGAACACCCTTTGAGACTCTGGGTGTGGCAGGTGTATTCTCTCCTATCTCCCCGAGAAGGTAAATTCAGACAGGGCGGGAAATCACCATCTCACCCTGTATGGAATTCCTGGGTGCATAGCTGGCTGTGTCTGCAGGGGACACCTGAGATCTGTGTCTAGGCAGTGGCTGGGTTCTCTCACTGAGTCCCTTCTGTGAGAACTCTTTGAATGGCTGTCCTAGATCCCAGAATCCCATCTGGCAGGTGCCCAGCCTTCCTCAACCCTCTAGGCTGTTGGGAAATCCTAAGGGGGATGCCAGGTTGAACCAACTGAGAACACTTTGTGTCCGTGACTGGGCTCAGGACAACCTGAGATTCTTGGGCTTCTTACTGCTCTGAGATTGAGGCTACTTTCCTCCCTGGGTGGTGGCAAGGAATCCATTAGAGGGCACAGGGTAGAGGCAGTGAACTCTGTCACAGACACCTTGAGGGTCACAGCCAGATGTGACAACAAATGGTACAAAATGGCCATAGAGGCTATTGCCATTTTAAATGTTAAAAGTGAGGGGGTGGGAGATGGCTCAGATGGTAAGTTCTTGCTTTACAAATGTGAGGAACTGTGTTTGATCCCCATAACTAACACTGAAAAATGGCTGGGTGTGGTGGTGCAGTTATAAACCCAGTGCTATGGAGGTGGAGACAAGCAGTCCTGGGACTCGCTGGTCAGATAGTTTGGCCTAACTGGTGAGTTCCAGGCCAGTGAGATATCCTGGCTCAAAAGACCAAAGAGGACAGTGCCTAAGGAATGAAACTTGGGGTTGTCCTCTGCCCTACATACCTGAACACACGTGAGCCCACATACACACAAATATACATACATATACACATACAACAGTGTTAAAACTCAGGCTGGTCAGGTGCACTGATTATGCCTCCACAGGGAAGCACAGGGTGTTGCTTGGATTGTTTTTCTGGTCTCTCAGACTTTCTCAGAGCTGATTTGTGGACTATTCCACCTCCATCTTCCCAGGAAGGTATGGCACAGGTCACATATGCAGAAGGAAAGACTGACCCAGCTGGTGGATTACTGGTTGGCCATATGACCTGGGGTGCCTACCAGGCCTAACTGTCACCTGTAGGTCTTCCCAAACTCTCCCTGCTAACTAGTGATCATGCTAAACTCTGGTTCCATCACTGTGTCTTGCTGATGGTCTCTCCTTCCATGACCAGACTCTTACTCACAATCCATTAGTGGTCTCAACAAGGCCTCCTCCTCCTCCTGAGCCTCAGTTTCCACATGTAGAGAACATGAAGGGCTTCAGGATTACAGAGGCCCCTTACAGCACTTGATCTGAGAGATTTGACAGAAGAAAGCAGTGCTGTTAATTGGATTTCTACTCTTCTCTACAAACAACATAGGAAACTAGGACCTTGTTTGGTGGGAGTTATTTTTTAATATTCCCAGATGACAGACAGATACGTTTCCTCCAAAGACTGGTGATTCTGTTTGAACAGGTCAAGTCAGGAGTAGATTAAGAAAAAAACAAAACCAAACAAAAAAACTCTTTTGAACAAACGGATATGACTTTACTGTTTTTGTAAGGTTATCTTCCAGCAGTGTTTTCTAAAGTTGATTGGTAAAAGGCACACAATGTTTTAAATATTAACAAAACTCTTGGAATGGACAGTGTAGGGAAGGGTCATTTGTCTGCAGGCTGTCCTTTCTGCCCCTCTTTTTGCTGCCCACCATAATATATACTGGTGAAGCACAGCCATGACTTTGGGCAGGCCCTTCCCTTGTGTTGCCCTAGCAGCCTTACCTTTATCCCCAGAAGTGTCTGCACGTGGCATAGACCTCACCTGGCAGCCTGGGTTGTTGGGATGCCTGATAAATGTGTAGGGATAACTGACCAAGCATTTAAGGCCAGAGGGACCACTTCCTCTGTCCGTCTCTCTGCTGCCCTCTAGTGCCATAGTTCTTATAGGATGCTGTCACTGAATTCCATACCACATCTCTCACATCTTTTTCTTTTCTTTTCTTTTCTTTTCCTCATTTTCTTTTGGTCTTATGTTATAGTTTTTGTTCCTTTTTTTGTTTTTTTCACTAGCATTCATTCTGTGGCCTTGACGACTCCCATGCGCCGAGAACTCGGGTGTGTATCCTTTACTTTCCATTGGCTGATGCAAAGCTGATTGAGAGAGGAGGCTGACTCCCTCTGGGAGATGAGGTGCCTGGAAGGCATCCTTGTCTCCCACTTCAGATCCTTGGGGGATGTGTGGTTCTGGGTCCCTGGGGTCCTTCTGTAGAGACACATGGCAGGACTTATTGAGACAGACAGGCCCGGTGGCAGTTCATTCACAGAGGACTTTATGTTCCATTCCCAAAGCTTTCTCCAGCTTGGCTCAGCTCCTGATCTGTTGCCATGTGCACATCTCCTGTCACATCCGAAGCAAGTGGCCCTCCATTGAGTGGCTCATGAGACCAGATCCTGATATGATCACACAGTGTCCAGGAGCCAGTAGTGTTCTGCTCTTCACCTCTGTCCGTATCTCAACCGCCCAATTATGATGTGTGATTATAGTCAGAGACCTGGCTGCTGTTGCCTTGTACCTAAGCACCTAGTTCTCAGCCCTGGTTCCTGCTTTGGGACCTCAGCCTCTCAACATTCTCCAGGTGCTGGGTGCTCATCCTGGGGCTGGCATCTGCCTGACCTCTGAATTTCAGAGTCTTGACCTTGAAAACAACCTAGGCTGAGGGTCCTTGAACTCCAGGGTGCCCCTGAGGCCCACTAGATGCCTAGATGGTCTACCAAATGTCCTTAGGTATGTCCCTGACTCTCATTAGCCCACAATGAATTAGGTTGGGACATTGGCCAGGCACAGAGTGACTGGTCACTGTATGTAGAAAGAATAAAGGGTTGGCCTGAGGTGTAGGAGACAGCTCACACCATGCCCCAGTGATGGAACCGTGGGGCTGGGGCTATGCAAATCCTTCTTCCTCTGTCTGGGTTTTAGAGAAGGTTCTCTGGATCACTATCAAGAGAGGTCAGGGCTTGAAGATATTCTAGGGCCTCCTTCATTCTTCTTAACCTTTGATTTTTGTTTCACTTCAGATTATTTCTTAATCTTACAGGCTAGACAAAGAGCTTTCGGAATCACCTGAGTCCCCGTGGTGCCCCATCCTCACTCAAACCAAAATTCAACAGTGCAACAAGCTATTCAAAGTCCGGAGCCTGAACACAGAACTTATGTACATTTGACAGTCACTTAAAGGGGAGGCCTGGGGACCTGGCCAGCCTCTGCTGTGGAACTCTGCAATGGGGAGGACAATGGGGAGCCTCCCCAGTGTCCCCACTGTGGCATCTTCAAGAGTCAAGGACAAAGATGGATCTGGATGGCAGGAATCTAAGTGCAATTAGCGGAAATCCAGGGCATGCGAGCTGCTGCCTCAGGGGATAGGTGCAAGGCCTGTCCCCATGCTGTGTGCCTCCCTGAAGGCACTGTATGTGCCTAGATGGATACAGACACCCCCTCTGCCCTATGTACATAAATCTCCATGGACTGAGTGTGTTCTTCTGAAGTCTGTCTGCCAGAGCCACCAACAAAACCTTTGACTCCATGCACAGCTGGACTTGCAGCTGGTAACCAGCAAGAGAGAGTTGGAGTTGCCAATGTGGGAGCCTGTGGATTGTAGATTTCTGAGGAAAACTGAAGGCTCCAACACTCTTATAGGTTTGACACTGCATAAGTCCCAGAGCATGGCTATGCCTCAGACCAGGGGGTTTGTGAGGACTGAGAGAGTGGGCCCAAGCTGCCTGTTGTAATTTGTAGGGGCATCCTAAAAAAGGAGCTTGGGCTGTTAGAGCAATACCCAGAGCCTCCGAATTCAGAGGCCAGGGGTGCCCTTCTACCATAGAGAAAATACCATAGAGCCTTCACTGCCCAGGATCCTCAGTAGATAAAAGCATCATCTCCTCGGGTGTTGGAGCCTCCATAGAGCACAATGGGTGGAATGGGGGTGGCATGCCCTAGCTTCACTGGAAACTAGGTGCTGGAAGTCAACTTCCAGAGGAAATTCCCTGAGAAGTAACTTTGGGATGCTTCTGTCAATCTAGAGCAGGTGGGGTGGGTCACCTTGAAAAGGCATCAGCCTGTGTGGCTATACTTTCCCAAAGTCGGAGCAGGGAGAATGTTAGCCATCAGATTGACAGAGTGAAAAGGACATGATGGTGAGTCTGTGTGGGGAGCTTGTGATGAGTTCAAATGTGGCGTGGTGGCAGCAGAGCAGGCAGGATGCAACCTCTTGCTGTGTAGTTACTGGACCAAGTAAGTGGCACCATGATTTCCTGGAAGCAAACAGAAATAGCTGGGGTTCAGATCCTATCCATTGAGGGAACTATGGAACAGGGACCTGACATTGTAGGGAAGCCATATCCAAAGACAGAGAAGTGAGGACAGCGCTTTGCATAGAAGGGGGCTGTCCAGATAGGAGGCTGTTCCAGCAGACATGAAGTCTCAAGCTTGAAGCAAACTCACCAGGATGGCTCAGAGGTGTTGGTTCTCTGCTGAAACACAAGTCCCCAAACATCTATGACCCACAAGTCCAGCCCCTGGGACCTACCGATACTCAGTGGTTTAATTAAATTCCAATGTACCTATCTTTGGCAATAGAGACATCTGAGTCATTGAGTTGCAGGAATGTGGGCACCAGTCAGGAAAATGGAAGGCATGCCTGCTTTCCCTGTTAGGAGATGCAGGGGCACTATTCAACTGACTTCTGTAGTCAGGTATCCTGGAGTATCCCAGAGAGTCATGGAGAAGTTGGCCACTCTGTCTTTGCAAACATCTGCCTAGAATCCCTGCAGGCTGTGTTGCAGTGTGGTCCTTATACCCTCTGCCCTTACCTACTGTGAGGGAGAGGGCAGCCTCCATGTCTGCTTGGCTTTTTCACTCAACACTTTATGTGATGGTGGCCTTAACTCTGCAGTCAGACCCATCTGGGCACTCCCAGCTCAGCCATGTCCCTGCTGCAGACAAACAATTTTCTTGTGACTCTGAGGAACAAACTTACAGATCCCAGGCCATGCCTCACGGAAGAGTTTCTGTGACCTCAGCTGGACAGGTGGACCCTCATCGTTTCACAAGACCTCTGACATTCCAACAGCTGCTGGTAGGAGCAAACATCTGAGTCCCTTATGGGGTGGTCCTCCCAGCTGGGGACAGTGTCCACCCACTTCCACCCCCAGGAAACCACTCATGCCTGAGAATGGAGCTCACACAGGCAGGTGTGCAAGCTGCCCTAGTCTCTACCAGGATAAGAATTCCTCGTCACTAGCTTAGACATTGCTACCCAAGTCCCCATTAGGAACAAGTCTAGCTAAGAGCCACAGGGCTCAGGGAACCCCAGAGATGCATGGCACCACAGATATAGTTGTCCTCTTTCCAGACCTGGGTCCAGTGAGGCATAGCCTCGGAGCTCTTGTCATGGATTAACACTTGTGTGGTTTCCAGAGGAGCAGAGCTATAGAGTCAGTCTCCAAAGCCAATGCTACATTCTTCTGTAGACAGGAAGGCAGGTGGAATTTTCCATGACTCTCCTCCCAGACCCACCAGGAGGATTAGATCCATAGCCCTCCCTGTGAAGTCCCCAAATACAAGGTTCTGCTTCTGTACCTCACTCCTCGGGGCTAAGCAGGGAGTCCTGGGCTGGGGTCAGATGGACAGCTGAGCTGAGAACTGGGAGACTCCAGCTTTAAAGTGGAGGGGGCCCCTAAGGCTGTAAGACCCGTGTCCTGCCAGGTCTTCTTCACTTTGTGTCTCTTGCTAGCCACAGGGAAGTTTTCACCCAATTGCCCTTGCTGAGCAGTGTAGAGCCATACCCCAACCATGTGCTGTGTAGGAGGTGGGGCCTGTGTCCCAGCTCAGCTCTACATTGGGTCCACCTAGCCTGAAGCTCTCCCAGTTGCTTCCTACCCTGGCTAGGCCAGGACTATGATGCTCTGGCGTGTTTGAGGGTTCTAGATCAAGTCCTTGTTCCCTGGAGAGTTTTAGCCTGTTTCCCCCTTGTTTTTCTCCCCAAAGGACAGGGTTATATGGCCCCTGTTTCCCTTGGATTCCCTAGCCAGGTTTCTACCAGGAGTCCCTCTGCCTCAGCACTTCCAGCACCATATGAATGTTTTTTTTATTATTATTTCTCATATTTAATCTCAGCCTGTTAAGGGACTCCCATTATGGAGCAGGAAACCCCAAACCAATACACTGGTGTCTTCTTCCTCTATTAAATTGTCTAAAAATCCCTAGGTGTTTTGGCAGACCCCAGCCCATGTGTCCAGAGCCCTACTCTCATAGAAGGAGCTGGGTCTCCTGGGCTGAACCTGCCCCCATCTCCCTCCTTAGCCCTTCACCTCAGAGCTGAGGTTTTAAGATGGGTGCTCTGGTTATGGCCTGTGTCCTTTCTGTGGCCACTGCCCCACCATGTCTCCTAAGGCTTTGGGCCCTGTCCTTACAGTCACTCTCTTGAGGCCTTTCCCTCAAGGAAAACAAGGCTGCAGGCCTATCCTTCTACAAGACAGCCATATCTCTTTCAATTTCCCCAGCTCCACCATCTTCTCCCCCTAAGTCTTAATGATTCACCAGGAACAACAGCTGTCATGTGCCTGTTGTGGGCAAGGAGGGCTGTTTCTCAGGAACCTATCTCTTACTCTCTGCTGCTTTCAGCTAGCAGTCATCTTCCCTCAGCAGGTGGCATCTTGTGGCCACTATTTCTGGGACTCACATGCCAGGTACTTGGGGAATCCTCCCCATGATAAGGGAGAAAACTGTTTACTGGGTGTGGTGTCATTTTGCAAGATGCTGGCCTGTTGCCCAGTAGCCTGCAGCAGCTAAGCAACAAGGCTGGTCACAGCCCAGACAGCTGAGATCGTGTCCGGGAAGCATACCTGTCACATCCGGCCAGTATTTAGTCTTTAGGATGTGGTGGGCTCTCTGAGCAGGCTGTGTGAATCCACTCATGTGTTCCCTCACTGGATCAGATGCCTGTACTTACACAGTACCTGGAGATCCTTTTATGAGATGCTCAGTACTTTGACCAGATTCATACCCAAGACAGGATTCAAACAACCCAAGGAC